AAAAGGAATTTCTGTTTTTCTCATCATCTCGATGAATGAGCACAACGATATTCGATCAGTGGCTGAACTCGACGCTGTTCACGCACTTTATATCGTCGGTAATTTAAAGTCTGACGAGCAAGTTGAAATGTTATCTACGTGTTTGAAACTGAGTGGTGTATTTGTTCTTAATGAAGATCTAATAAAACAACTTACAACGGATATTTGTTTTTATCGTCATATTCGAGTTCATACACCGACCGTGAGTATCTTCAAAATCGAACCTATTATTCTCGATCGACTTACTGAAACTCAGAAAGATTTTCTCTGCTTCCAACTATTCAGTGACATTCTTCTAGAGCTACCAACTCAACCGACTAGTATTTCTGACAACAATACGGAAAATGACAATCAATCACTCTCCCGTTTAATCGAAGGAAATTTAAAGATTAGTTATCTTTTTAACCAATTTGATATTTTCACACTACGAAAATCCATAGTCCAATTGAAGGATATTAATCAGCATATTGTATCCATGACGAAAAATCCAATTTCATCTTTTGTTACAGTATATCGAGCACAATTAGTGTCACGGAAAGATATAGAAATGATGAAAGATCATTCAAATGCTCTACTTGCCATACAAGCATTCGTTTTGGCCTCGCGTTCCTTCAAATCTATAGCTGAAATTTGTCGTCGAGCAGTTAACAATCAACTCATAGTGGTTCTTTTCGAACTTAAATTATCTGATAAGGCATTTGTAGCATCTTCCAACTCAAACACAGTTATTTTCGGTCTTGGTACTCTCTTTCGATTGGTTTCGGTGGATTCACGTCCCGATGGTGTCTGGCGAGTTCAACTTGAGATTGCGAATATGGAAATGCAAAGTATTAGAGACCAACTTCGAATCGAAATCGGCAGTAATCTTACATGGCTGACATTTGGAAACTATTTAGCTGCTTTCAAACGATTCAGTGCTGCTCAACACTACTATGAGTATCTTCAGCAAATGCTTCCACGAGAACATCCAAGTCTTGCACCGATTTACAACAACATCGACTTGATGTATTCGAAAAAGAAGGATGACATGGCAGCATTTGAATTGCTTAAAAAGGCATTAAAAGTGAAAATTCCTTAGTCATCTGTGGCTGATAAGCGATAAAAGATATCGATTTCGCACTTACCGCTATCACCTCTTCCATTTAACGGGTGGCGTAGAATAAATGGCACTCTCAGTATTTTGGAAATATCTTTCTCGAATCTCATTGTTTAAGAGAGAGTCCATGCAAAAACCGATCAACTTAAACAGAGGCCTGCATACGAAATTTTTTTTCGCGAAATAAGTTATATCATTTAAAAGCCCGTGAAAAGTTATTCTTAAATCCCAACTTTTCGCTCTTTCTCAAAAATCCCATCAAGAGATATAAAGTGAGCTTTGAACCCACCATCAGGTGCTATGTTATAAATTTGACAAAGGACGGGGGGCGTATAAGGGTCATTTTTGGGCCCTCGTCAATTTTGGTTGATTCATAGTTTACTAGATGCAGAATTTCACGAGAAATCGTTTGGTATCAAACTAAAGCTCTTTCAGAAGAGTCTAGATGTA